GTCCTTCCTGGATCTATGTGCATCCGGGCAGGCAGCGCCCTTCTACTACATCCTTGGGTAGATTAATGCTTACACTGACAAACTCCTGGTCTGCAGGCCTGAGGCCATCATCCAGTGACATCTTTCCCCATGGCATCTTTAGGCGACTGCAGCAGGTTCCTCCATGGTGCCACGTCAGATATACTCACTCCAACTGCATTACTTAGTCACTGAACCAGATCATACACACAAAGGGCAAGATAGTAAGAGAAAAAGTAAGGCAACAGAGATGGGGGGATGTAAAGTGCTACTAGCCGGTTATAAAAATTTGCATTTTTAATATTTGTTTTTAACGACAATCTACGAGGATTCCCTTACGCCAGTTGTTGTAACATAGTGAAAGAATCGTATGTAAAATAAATGTAAATTAATAAGCATAGTGTTGATATTCATGACTGGCAAAATCACAGGCAAAACAGATACAACATCGATCTCTACGCATACAACTACGACAGCAACAAACTTTATTAATGAAAAGGTTTTAGTGTCTTTGGTTCTGCTGTATGAGCGAGTGAGTGTGTGAGTGTGAGAATGAAAAAGAGAGTGAGCTCACACTGAGAATGAATCATAAAACACGAAGATTAATGTTCATTGTAACAATAATACGATTAGTAGAAAACAACAGTAATTCAAAAATGTTTCAACTTTCACCCTGATTTCAACATTTAATGATATGTGACAGAAAACATATCTTTCCGACTCAAAAATGTACTACATAATCCACGACTCTATTTAATCTACACTTCAGTCTCACTACAAAATTCTGATATACGAGGTAGCCATGTCAGACTATGTAAGACTTCAGTGAAGTCAAATTGCTGAACGAAATGAAGTGAATTGAAACGAGATGGGGAAAATTCATAAATAACCCACTCTATTCTGCAAATCTGTGATGGGCTCTTGTGAAATGCCCTACTAGTATCTAACTTTCACAAATCACACAGTCGCCTGGTATTTACCCAAAGCATGTAAGTGACTTCTTGAGGGCGAGAAGGGTATGATTACATGAATATGGGCTCACACCGATTACTATCTATTATCGTACATCGGATCGTAGATCTATTAGACGATTACGCAACCCTGGGTTACATCTGGCAGCCCTGTGGCTATGATATGGGGAATATTCTAATGCTATACTCAAATAATAAATTTAGACAAAATTGAGTTACAAGATCCGCTCAATGCTGAACGTGTCAGCATTGAGCAATGTAACGGTACTATGGTTATCCCATGGTGTCCACGACAACAAATTACGGGAAAAATAAGTGGTCATTTCATGGCCCCTCTACGAGCACAACCGGTGGAAGGGAAAGGGAAAGTGAGATCAGGTCGGGCGAGAAGTGCAAGAGTAGAAATAAATGGCATAATATCCGTGTTAAAGGTATATCAAATCAGTAATAGAATTAAACAAACTAAAAGAGTAAAAAAAAAGTTAATTTCTAGCAGTCAATCAACGAAATTTGTAGAAGAAAATGAAGTACATAGAATTTGCTGAAACAACTAAACAAAATAAAAAGGAATTAATTCTCAGTTGGAGAGAAAATCATGAACACATTAAATTTCTTGTACTTAAAACAACATCAATTTCTAATAAGAGAAATTAATTACATACTTAATAAACGATAGTTTGTGTTTGTTGGCAATACCATGCTCTCACAGTAATGCCCAACCTAAGGTCAGAATAATAGAGTGAGAGTAAGATCCTGCCATTTCCTGTCAATAAACACTTTTACCTTGCAAAACCAACGTGAGAGTGACTGCACATATAACTTATACGGTTTAACTCATTTATGAGAGAAGGGAGGGAAGAGAAATGAAAGGGCCCATAACATGTACCCACGTGGTTTTGATGACACTGTATTGTGGAAGCATTGGTCAAGCAGTTTTTGGAGAAGTGTGTTTGTGTTGCAAGCCAAAAGGACACAAAGACCACCATTGTCACCAGTTGTAAGAGGCTGTAGGGCCTTAGATACAATGGCTGGTTGGACAGTGATAATGGTATTCGGGTTAACTCCTTATTGATGAAGAGTACAGCACAAGTAATTGAAGCAAAAATCCAATGTCTTGGAGCAAGTGCTAAGTACGTTCCGACTGGTGGTGTTCTTGATATGGAGGCGAACTGAAAGGAGTGAGTGAGTGTCATTCTAGGGCACAAGTGGCGAGTCTACACAGGAGACTAGTGGAATCCTCCTTAATAAACCTGCTAGCTAATTGCAACCTGAACAGCGGCTTTCCTCCCCTGCAAACAGTCCGCCCGACCCTCCGACCTGATCTGACCTCCCTTCGTTTCCGTTCGTCTGTCCTCACCTGCCCCGTGTTACCGAGTTGCCTTTCCTCTCGCTCTTTCATACCCACTCCTCTCCCTTTCCTCTTCAGACCTGAGGATGGAATCCAGGTGGATTCCGAAATTGTTGTCTCACTTTCAATAAATATAGTATTATATTGTGGGTTTTACTACCAGAGATTTAGTATGTGTTTGCCTAAGGCACCAGGCGGCCTACTGGAAATAAGTAATAAACAGGCAGCCAAAGGTAACTTAATTTTTCACACAAAAACTGTGTTAAGTACGATATTTAATAAACTTTATAATAATACTAAAATATTGTGTTACTACAACTCCTATTGTTTTTACTCTTCCAACTTCATTTTACTTTAATAAACATGTTTGATTTAACGAACCCATTGGAACAAGTTTGATTATTCATTCACGGTGTCCGAAGACGCCAAACATATTTTTTGTGACTGATGCAGACATAAACAATATCTAAAGAATGAGCGAAAAAAGTGTCAGGCTAAAGTGTTAAACTTAGAATACTCAATTTTCGATACAGAGGATTAAAGTAAAAAATACTGCTAAAACCACCTTCGTTTACCGTCTCTGAGACCAACCCCTCTTCCAAAGATTGAATTTATAAAATAAGCCCATTCCTCTTCTTCCTAGTCTCCTTACATTCAGAGAGATAATGTAGTTTAAACTTGTCGGTTCCGATCTTTTTAGTTTTTGTGCATCACTATCATTATGGTAACATGAAAAAACGTGGTTCCTTGATATAAAATCAAGTACAATAAGAACCGTCTTCCTAATGCGTGTTCAAATAACCTAGTATTCAAGCTGTGTGTGACTGGGACCCAAGCTATTCCACAGAATGGAAGGTGGTGACCTACAGGATCTGTAGGTCGAGGGTCAACATCGTTCGACGTCTAGCCATTCTATTTTGTGTGCGGCTTTTCTGTTATGAAAATGATAATCACACAATGGATCTGGTAAAAGGTGCTATGCTTACAACCATTGGCCAGCAGATGGTATCTCTATTCCAGGTATAGAGTAATTCGGGGTAAGACGAGACACAAGAAAATAACTGTTTTTTTTTTAACAAAACATTCTGTAATTAAATACTAACATACTAAATACTTAAATAATAAATAAATAAGTTTTGCCAAATAGCTAACCTAAGATCACTCCTGCAGATTTAATGAAAGAACATAGCTAACATAAGTAGCAAATAAAAGTTAATACCCAGAACCAAATTGTCTCATCTTGCCCCTCATATGGGGCAAGATGAGACAACAATGTTATATGAGACTTTGATGCACCTATTTGCAGTTTATCCTAGATTTGAAGATATTAGCATATCAGTGCAAAAAAGAGACAAACATGTGTTTCCAACATGAAATATAGTAATTATTTATTATGAAATTGAAAAAAAAAATCATACAGACATTCTTACTGAACCCTTTCAAAAGCTGCATCAATCTAATTGCATGCCACAAAAATATTGTTACTGTCTGCAAGTTTAACATCAACTAAATTTTCAATGAAAAGCTCCTAACATACCTCAGAAGAAACACCACAAGAGCCCCCTTATTTGCACTTTATAACATGCACTATGTTTACAGCATCTTCGGCCATGATCGTACATCCAAGATGTCGCATCTTGCCCCAAAGCACAAACAAAGATTAAATTCTTAATTACAAAACGAAAATTTGACCCTGCTAGTGATAGTTTTCTTTGGTATTGGCATGCACTGAACTTGGTTTGAACCCGTGGAGGTTGACCTTAAAGATATTACACTGCTTTAGCAACTAGTATTTTGCGTATGCCACCTCGAATAAGATGGTCGGCAAGCAATACTAGCAATGAAGGCACCTTGAGAAAAGTGTTATTTTCTTCGCAATGGGAGTCTTCTTCGGTTAAAAACCATGAGTCAAAGACAAAGGAGACTCGAAACAACGTGTTTTGAATAATTTTGATAAAATCTTTGCGAAAATAAAGCCTTTTCCTTCCAAAAGTCTCCAAGTGTCTCATCTTACCCCACGTCTCGCCTTGCCCCGAATTACGCTACCCCAGTCCCTTGCTCGTTCTTGTCGTAGGGGGGGGGTGGGTAGGAGACGCCGACTGAGGTCTAGTGTAGGAGACTACCCCTCCCTTGGTCCTCAGCCCTCGCCTCAAGAAATTTTGCTTGGTCTTTTCTTCTTCACCTTCCTTTTCCTTCTCTTCATCCTCTTCTATCCACTTATCCTAATTATATACTCATCTTTACCCTTTACAATACTTTTTCATAAAGCCATACTTGGGGGCTTTGCCCCTAAGCCCCGCTCTATCGCTGTATTTTGAATACGCCGCTAATGACTTTAGATGTTGACGCGGCAGGAAATGTTCAATATATAAATAAATAATACTCGGGGTATTTTCGTCAAGTACTACTGATGGTATTTTCGAAGCACCATTTCCCCATTTCACTGTATGAAATAATAGAAAAACAACCACATTCCAAGCAGCTAACACCAATATTCAGCAAAAGCGGTCCCCAGTTAGCATTTATGTTAATGTGTATCTGCTTTATATCTGTGTGATTCCAGGTAGATGTGTGCATAGTGTGTAGTTAGTATATCTAATAATAGAATAAGATTAAAATCAGGAAAATACCTGTCATAAGCATAAACACAATAAAGTTATCACCTTGCACTTAGCTGGCGCTGAAGCTTGAGCTTGTCCTCAATTTGTTCAATAGGGAACTGAGGAACCTCGTAAGGTGCCGAAATCTCGTTGGGTCTGTCGGGATCTTCCGTCTTCATCATGATGGCTTCGATATCTTTGAGGGCGTCCTGAGGTACACAAAACCCTGGACCTCGGCCAAAATCAGGACTCTCACTTCCTGGATAAAGAACACATAATATTAATCAACAATGATGATTGATTGATGAAGAATAGAACATCTACAGTTACAGGTTTAATAGATGTAATGAATAAATGGCAAATAATCTGGCACCAAGCAATGTTAAATGATTTGATATTTCTATATAAGTTTAATGTTGCAAAGCACGGGGAGTATGATCAATGGCAGTTACAGTAAGAGTACTAAAGTTAAACATGGTCATCCAAAGCAGTAGGCTATCCTGATATATATTATAAATAGGTTGTTTGAAGTTTCTTTCGAAATGAGCTGTTGCACTGGGGTAATATAATTATTAAAACTAAACCGATTTACCTTAGGATTTCTAGGAGGTGTTAACGATTTACCTTAGGATTTCTAGGAGGTGTTAACGATTTACCTTACATATATTAGACTTACAGATTATTTTATGCATTTCGTACCTTCTAGTCTGACATCACCATTGTGAAAGGACACTGTTAAAATTCAAATAAATTTCACACGGTTTCAGTAATGAAAGAAGCAGACTTTTTATTGCATATAATCATAATTGTTGTAATCAAACATAACACTGCTTTACAGTCTTCGGTTCTGGAGAGCTCAAGGCCGAATTGCATTTGAACTTGGTTGAGCTTCCGAGGGGTATCTATATTGAAGACACTAGAAACTATTTGTCTTTCAGTTTTTGTATTTTCTTAAAATTTCCTTTATAGTACATCAAAAAAAGTTTCATTTGCAATAGAATCTAATACAAACAAAAGGTATTTAACAAAAACAAATGACATCAGGGGTAATGAGGATATATAAGCTATTCAGCACCCAGAACTACTAGAAGTGCGATGCTGTTTGAGTTTGCTTGACATTAATTAGATAAAATTGATAAAATTGGGCCTGTGTTGAGAGGATGCAAGGTGTGTAGTGTGCAACAACTCCAGAACTCCTGTTTCCTTTCACTGTGGAACTTTAACCTGGCAAACACACTGGAGAGTTGCATTAATGGCATCACTTCCTTTGACCTCTCACATCTATGAATCTACTCCTTTTGGCATCACATTCCTCTTACTTTCAGTACTTCCCACAGCCGTAAGCCACACTCAAGGAATAAGACACTCTAGAAAAGGGAAGTCAAACTCAAAACCCTAAGAGAGCCAATTTTCTTTTAAGCTACCAATTTGAGGGCCAACAAAGGTACTAGCTTCCCGGGATTACGGTTCACAATGATAGTGGCATACCAGGAATATCAATATAAACTAACTTATAATATATATATATATATATATATATATATATATATATATATATATATATATATATATATATACATTTTCATTCTCCTAATCATAATTATACAGCATAATTCTGCTTGTCAATACAAGGCCATTTATGACAATTGTCTCACGGACCATGAGTTCCACATCCATGCTGTAGAGCAATGGTTCTTACTCGTTAGCATTACGGACCCCTTTAAGAATATGGATTCCCTTAACCAAAAATATTCACATAAACACAACTATGCAGGAGATGTGTATAATGCACTTTTTAAATTGAAATGTGATTGTCCCATACATATATGAGATACAAAGTATTACTAAATGACTAAATCTATAAAACACTTCTTTTGATATAAATGTAGCGTTCATTTTTATCTTATCCTTACAGACTCCCTAGAACTGCTAGGGGATTCATGTTCCCCAGGTTAAGAACCCCTTTTCTAGAGAATGGTGTTAACAACAAGGCTCCTCCTCCAAGAGTTACAGGATAGCCTGGAGGCAAGCTACAAAACAACCCGGATTCGGGTAGCATCCTGCTACCTTTGCACCTGACACCTCCCGAGTTCATGAACACTAAAGCTCAACCTACGGAAGTATTTAATAGCTCTTATGCTTCTGAAAATAATATTCTGCAATGTTCTTCACAGATTATACACTATGCAGTAGATTTTTAACCCCACCCTCACAAACAGTCAGTTCAGGGCAGAGGATGGTAGGCCTAGGTGTGGAAAAAAGATGAATTACACCAGCTAGTCAGACTAGCTTGAGAGAACCGTCCTAGACGAGGGGATGTCAAATAGAGCGTTAACCATTTATATCAGATAAACGTTTTTACTTATACTCGATTTGTAGTTTAAGTACAAAAAAATAAGGGAACATGAAAGGCGACTGAGAACTTGGAATGATTAATTGGCCATGGTTTCACTTACATGAGTCAGTCACTAGAGGGAAGGGGGAGGGAGGGGCCGGCAGAAAGACAGCGGATCTATATAAAAATAACCAGCAACGGTGTTATGGATGGCATATGGATGACGCCTTAACATTGGTTATGAGGGGGTAGACATAGTGGTATAATGGCTAGACTCTTTAATTCTGAAGAGTACAAGTAATAGTAATGTAGTAGGACTATTCGCCCACTCCTTGTCCTATCACGGTACTCCGCCCCCCCTTTGGTAAGAGGAGTCCATGAGGAGTTTTATTGTCCTTTTAAATATGTTTTATTCAACCTAAATTGTATTTTATTCAACGAGGTAGAAATGCGGGGTGCTGTCCGTAAGTACGTATGCACGTACGTGGGCTTAGCTACGTACATGCAAAGATGTTTGCCATTCACCAATAATTTGTGTGAGGACACTATCTCACCAGGAGGATAGTGTCACGTAAAATAAGTGTTTGTGACCAGTTTTTATGCAACTGGATGGCGTCTGCTAGTGACGTCATGCTACTGGTTTACGTCGTCATTAAAGACGTCATAAACCGTGACACAGCAGCCACTCACGGGTATCCATGTCGTCGGGCCATTAGCCAATACCCTGGCTAGGGGGCGTAGATACCCCCCAGGTACTTTGGGAGTACCGGCAGATCTGGTCTCGCCTCCTTACTGCTCGGGAACTCGTGTATGAACTCTTGATGAGTAAACACCTTTTTCGAACGCAGTAGCAACAAAGACTAAGTCTTGTGCCACAAGAGCTGCCCTGGAGCCCGGGGCCTCTCGTCTCGCTTGACATTGTTGTTCCCGAGTTTTCCTAAAGTAAATTGAAGTAAAATAAAACCTGTAATTACAGACCATCTATTATGCTTTGCCAGCACCTTCACTGCTCTTGCTTTTGCAGGTCAGCACCCCACCCCAGACCCGCAGCTCTCTTCTACACTAGGGTAGCCCTTGTGGCTTTGACCCCTGGCTAGGGAGGCCCAGTAGTCTGGAGCGTCATTTGGGCGCAAATGTAAAATGTGTGAATGTAAATCAATCGCAATCAAACCCAATACTTCCTATGCTGCAGCAGTGACTAACAACACCCCTAATGCAAGTGATATCAGTCAACAGCTTGCAGCTAAGAATAAGGAAATTGCCGAACTCAAACAAACCGTAAAAAAATTAAATATTACAGTTTATCACTTAACAAAACTGGTCGATCAAATGGCTGCATCAACCCAGCATAAATATCATAAGGAGGATGATACGGAATCACGGTCCAGAGCGCACCTCCCCGTCCGGGTTACTCCTGTGAGGACTTCGTCTGACTCGCGATCAGTTTCTCAAGAGGAAAACAGATCGCAATCTGTCAGTCGTCTCCCTCGCCAGGAGGTGCAGGACATGGAGGCTTCTGTTTCCAAACCATCCTGAGATAGGTCCCCGGGAAGTGAGGGAGAGGAGGCACCTCCCTCCCATAAAAAGAAAATTAAAACTGGTGGACAAGGCACTTCCAAACCCCACAAAACGTAATCTTGGCATCGACCATTATACAATGGAACTGTCGAAGTCTTAGATCTAAAGTAAATGACCTTAAATTATTTGCCTTGGTGACGCGACCTAGCCGCGTTCCCCAAGCCAACGCTCGGATATTTAAGGCCTGCAGGTGACCCCTGTAGGCAGAGTGTTCTGTGCCGCGGCGAGGTCACGATCTGACCGCGCGGCCAGGTGCCGTTTGGCAGGGCCCACCGTCTGACCTAAGCGCTCTCGCCTTAACCCAAGCCCTGTCATACTTGTGTGATCAACTCTGTGTGCTTTCTCTTATCAATAAAGAGATTTGAGCCACCAAGCTTTTACTACTTCCTGTCACCAATGTTTAGAGGTCCTTATATAACCCTTACAGACAGATAGTGTCAAGCATAGAGTTCCATGGTGGACACCAGATTGCCGCAGGGCGCTGTGCCGACGCAATAAGGCCTACAGGCTTTTCAAAAATAACATTACTAATGAGCTAGGGTTTGTAGAGTAATAAGACAAGCAAAAAGAGGCTCCTGGCGGAGCTTTGACTCTACAATAAACAAAGAGAGAGCAAGAGAAAAAGAGCGAGAGAGAGAGAGAAAGAGAGATAGGGGGGGGGGGGGAAGAGAGAGGGAGAGAGGGAGAGAGAGAGAGAGAGAGAAAAGAGAGAAAGAGAGAGAGAGAGAAACAGAGAAACAGAGAGAGAGGAGAGAGGAAGAGAGAGAGAGAGACGAAGAGACAGAGACAAAAAGAGAGAAAGAAAAACAGAGAGAAAGAGAGAGAGTGAGAGAGAGAGAGACCGAGAGAGAGAGAAAGAGAGAGAGAGAGCAAGAGCGAGAGAAAAAGAGAGAGAGGCCGATAGATAGAGAAACAGAGAGAGAGAGAGAGAGAGAACAAGAGAAAGAGCGAGAGTGAGAGAGAGAGAGAGATAGAAAGAGAGAGGGGGGAGAAGGAGGGAGAGAGGGAGAGAGATAGTGAGAGAGAGATAGAACGAGAGAGACGAAAAGAATAAGACAGAGAGAGAAAGAGAGAGGAAGAGAGAGAGGAAGAGAGAGAGAGAGAGAGGGAGAGAGAGAAATAGGCAGACCAAGAGACAGAGATAGAGTGATAGAGAGAGAGAGACAGAGACAGAGAGAGAGAGACAGAGACCGAGAGACAGAGAAATAGACAGACCGAGAGACAGAGAGAGGGAGACAGAGAGAGAGAGAGAGAGAGAGCGAGAGAGAGAGAGAGAGAGAGAGAGGGAGAGAACGAGAAAGAGAGAGACATAGAACGAGAGAGAGAGAGAGAGAGAGAATGGGAGA